TTTAGGTGGGGGAACTTGCACAATCGGTGGCTGACTAAATACTTTTTTGCCCCACTGTAAACTCGTTGACTGAGCACAAACTCCTACGCATTTCAATTTCTACTGATAAATTCAGCATACTGCCCATTCCCACAACACTAATTTTCTCACAACATGTGTTCACATGTGGGTTTTCCCTGAAAGATGTTAGGATTTCATTAATTTGGTTATGAATAGCACTAACCTCCAGTGACTGCAAATGAAAATTAGCCTATATGGCTAAATCTAGCAAATTTACATGATGGACCTAAGTGCACGTGTTAATATTTAAACCTTTTCCTTCTTAAACAGAATAAACATAATGGAAATCAACTGTTATGCCAGATGCTTTGCATTAAAAATGTAATATAGCCTTTCCTGTCTTGGCTGGTTTAATATGTAGAGCTACATCGATTTAATTAAATACTTCTTTTCCTGACTTCACATTGTATGAGTTATTGTTGTGAGTACAGGTTATATCTCTCCAGCACTAGTGGTTATGTATTTTCTCTCTGCCGTTTTTTTGAATACCAACATTTGCAATCATGTAACAGCGACTTCTTCAAAAACTCATCCACCCCATGATTCAGTAGGTTGTAGAGCCACTTTCAGTAATAACTTGGAGAAACTGTTTTCTGGATGACTTTGTATCAGTCTCTCAGATCATTGTGGAGGAATTGTAGCCCCCTCTTATTTACAGTGTTGCTTCAGTTCATTAAGGTTTGCAGGCGTTGATTTTAACGCACAGCTATCTTAAGGTCCGACCACAGCACTTCATGCTGAAGCCTGGGTCAATGAAACACCATGATTTTTTTCTTTATCCGACATTCTGCTGTAGTGTTGCTGGGATCATCGTCCTGTGGCATCAACTAATCTGAGTCAAATTTTAGATATCGGCCTCACATTTGACTCTGCAATACTTTGTTGTTCAAAGGAGTTCACGGTTTACTTAGTGGCTAAACATCTCCACTTTGGTCTTGTCTGTCCATTGTTGTCAGATACAACTTCCAGGCAACCCTTCCTAAACAAGTCATTCTTATTCAGTGTCTTTTCTAATTGTACCATCATAAACTTTAACATTTACTGAGATCTGTTGCCCTTGGATTTTTTTTTTGCAGATTTTCTGAGCATCGCACAACACGAGATTAAAGTGAATTTGGCTGGCATTGTGTTAACATACACATGAATGCTCCAGGCTAGCAAAATGACAAAACATATACTTTTACAGAGGTGCTCAGACTGTAAGGGTGTACTTTTTTTTTTTTTACATTACTCTGTATGAGTACTCAAAGTATTTTTTTCCAGCATTAGAGAATAAAACCAAAGTGCATGGAGGATATTTAAACTATCCATTATATTTTATATAATCAGAAACGATCAACTCTCCTGCAGTACATCTGTAGAGAAAACATGAATCTTGACAAATATAACTGTACAATGTGGAGCACAGATGTCCAATCTGAGAACACGCTTTACAAGAAATACCACAAAATGTAAGGAACTACGTTATCTTCATTCTGCTACATCTGGAGCCTGGTTCTAGCTCACAAAGCTGGAAAATTGTTGGAGAGATAGAGAAGGAGGGAAAAGGGGTCGTTGTGTACATGCAGTGAAGTGCATGTGTGTCTATGTGTGTACTCTCTCATTGCATGAGTGCTATAGGAAATATATTAATAAAACAACTCAATGTGTGGCAGCGATTGCGCCTGGCTACTATAAAAGAGGACTCTTTCTCTCTCATTCACTGAGTTGCACAAAAAGGTGTGACATCATCGGGGACACACAAGAGTTTCTACTAACAAGAGACTAAAATAGACCATGACGCCTCTCTGTCTCTCCCCCTCCCTCTGGTAAAATATCTTCTTGTTGTTTATCTTTCTCCCTTTCTTTCCTCATTTGTCTCATTCATTTTCCATTTCAACCATTTCAACATTTCACGATACCCAATTTCTCCTCTTTACAACAATCAGTACCACCTTTCTGTTTTTAACCCTTTTTCTTTTGGTTTATAAAAGACAGGGTTAGAGTTGGATCGATATCCCATTATAACATTACTGCAGAGATATAAACATGCAAGCTAATATTGTACTTACTGTAAACATGAGCTGGCATCCTCCCAGTATGTAATCCAGAAAAGTGTAGTCCCTTGTAATCTAGAGACACGGGAAAAAAGCAAGAAATCAGGAAAATAAGTGTGCAAGTGAGAACTGATCTGCTGAAGATCAGATCTATAGATGAAATTATATTTTCTATCATTCACCATTAAGTTTGCTGCAAACATAAACACAGACATTATTCTTTTTAAATTTTTTAAACAAACCTGACATATGTTTTTCGTGACATAATGTGCAACCAGAAGAGCACCACTTATCTTGTTTGAGCACTCCAATTACAATGAATATTTAGCATGGATTTTACCGTCATTAGTCTAATCCCTGCTGCCAGCCAACAAATATAATTACTATATTAGCCATTTTCTTCATGCGCTGTGCCCTATGTGTGTCTCTGTACAAAGGCTTGTTCATGATTGTGTGTAAGAAAAAAAAAGATGGAAAGAAGGAAAGGAATCAATTATGAAAGCTTGTCATTGCACGCACACAGCTTTAATGTTATTCCAACAGGCATCTAAAGACTCCATGGTTCAGCTTAATGTGTCCTCTGTGGGGCTCTGAGCCATCGTACTAATTAGCTATTCAAGTGGAGTTATGAACGCCCAGTTAGAAGTGCGTCAGTTGATCAAAACTGAAATGCACTGAGTCGAGTGTTAAGATGGATCATTAAGACGTGATGAGAGGCCGGATAATTTATTTGATTTGCTACTGTAGGTGAGTTATTTTTGTTGCTCCTGCTTAGACTGCTAATGGATCAAACTTCTTGAGCTAATATTTAAAACAAAAGTTTGATATACCAGTGGTATTATCAAACTTTACTCAATTGTGCTGCTGAATTCATTGTGAAATATCTGTGTTGCTCTGTGTGGACGGGTTTAGTTCATTACTGCAGGAATTACTGCAGAACTTTCCGGTGAAGCCTCATGGTTCACTTATAAATCCTGGCGCAAAGGTATATCAGAAAGTTAAAGTATACAAGCGGCTGGTAAAGATGTAGCAGCTAAATGGAGAGCATTTCCATCCGAAGCTGGAGCAACTAAAACACAAATAAGTGGAACTGTAGAAAAACATCACTGCTCTGTTTCTTCTGCCCCCTTCCTAAAAACTTCAGGGGACTTTAACTGTTTGTTAACACAAATTTCAATCATCAACACGGTAGCGATCTAGTGCATGTGGCCATGCAGAAGTTCAAAGTGAGCATCGATGTGCAGCTGACAAAGATTCAGCAGCTGTGTGAAGCCATCATGTCACCATGGACCAGCATCTCTGAGCAATGTTCCCAGCAGCTTGTATGCTATGAAGAATTAAGGCAGTTATAAAGGCAACAAGTGGCTCCGAACCACGACTAGCAAAATTTACTTAATAACAGTAACAATCACAGTGTTTTATTTTATTAAAGTTTTTTTTTATCTACTATAAATTGTTTTTGTTTTTTTTTGTTTTTTTTTGGCCTGTCCCGTTTGGCTCTTTTGCCCTCAGAATTGTTGTCTAAAGGCAAAGAAAGATGCCCAACGGATTTACTTTACCAAACTGACCATCCCAGCCTTGCCGTAATGGTCCATTTGATTCACCTTTTATTGTTTATTTTATTTTCACTTACTGAATACGGGACAGACTTGACTGGGGGAAATCTACTATAAACTTAGCACCTGTATAAGAGCTATAAGCTTTCAGTTAAAACCAACATTAAACCATATGGAAACATCAGAACATGACAACTAATAATGATGAATGCTTGAGCATGTAAAACCAAAACATTGCTTTCATTCTTTTAAAATATCACTCAATTTCCTGACTGAGTACAGATTCCCCAGTTTACAACACAGCTGTAATTATTGTTATTTGCTTCTTAATTTATTTTTCCTGGCATATTTCTCCACAGGGAAATATGCCAGGCAATCTAAAAATATTGATCTGATTTTAGATTTGGAAACACGTTTGATATGTGAAGCCACAAGTTGAATGTGTCGGTGACAGCAGTAAGAAAAAGAATACATCTACTGCAATTCTACTAAATTTATATGCAACCGAAGATTAAGATTGCTAAGAAACCTCCATCCGTCCTCACCTTGCAGGACTTGACAATGATAACTCCAGAATTTTTATAATTCTTCTTCTTTTTCTGTTTCTTGGGATTAATGCAGTCAAACTCCACCTGCAGATACAGGAACGGGTAAGAGGAAATGAAAGGAATTAAAATGAATGTGTCACTATCAGTAACAGAGGAGTGGGTTTAGCAGGGACAATACAAGGAGAGGAAAAGCTGAGATGACAGCAGAGTTGAAAAGAGTTGGTGTGAGATGGGAAAATGATCAGAGAGGCAGACGATCGAAAGACTGCGACTTGGATTCACAGCTTCCCCATAATGATGAGAGCAGGTTCACCTTGACTGTCAAACTATAGTGATATAGTACCATTAATACAGTGAAAATGAAAACAATACAGTGTTAAAAAACAGAAAGATTTAATTTTATGTGATGCTGTTGAAAGAAAAGTGAAGGACAGGATGGCTGCTAATACTGTAAGTCACACAGACACACTCTTAGGTGGCAATGTCTGATCAAAACAGACATTTTAGTCAGTCAGCGATTCATATGACAGGTAACTCTAAATGCCTTGTCATGTTACTAAGGCTCGGCTAAGGGATATTTTACATCTCAAAAGCACTTCTCTTTTTATTCATTCCATTCTCGCTCTCGCTCTGCTTACACCCCCCCACCTCTCCATCCTGCCTCTTATCTTTATTTCCTTGTTATTTCCCCCACCCAACATCATTACCACACATGATGAGACTCAGTGGGAGAACAAGTCATGAGGCCGCTTTGGCACATGCACGCATGCAATTTCACTAGCAACACACACACACGCGCGCGCGCACACACAGACCTGCTAATGAATGACCTACGTTCTTATCAGTGCATCATACATCTTTGACAGATCAGGAACTCACATGCGAAAAGACTAAATCTTAATAAAATTAGAAACAATACCAATGTATAAATGAATGCTTCTAAACTATAAATCAAGCCACAACAGGCAGAAATACAGCCATGTGGTAAGAAATGAATTATAGCACTTCACATTACAAGTTAACACTTGGGCTCATAAGTTGATATCAGTTGATAAATATCATGAAATTACCAAAGTAAAACCCAATCACAAGTTTGTTACCGTGTCGCATAAGACAAAGTCTAACCTAAGATATACCCATGTGTACTCTTACTACCAAGCAATTGCACAGTTATAAGTCTAGTAATTACATTGTATTTACTTAAATAATGTCTCTTTATTATTATCTAATTACCCTACTACTAAACTCTGTACACACTGGAAACAATTCACTAGTTGCACACTGCTGTACGATGCCTGGTTGCTTGTAGACATTCCAAGTTCTGGTTGCTTAGATGACCCTCTAATGTGTTCACATCCAGGTCATATGTCATATATACAGGTCCTGTCTAGAAATTGCGTCAAGTTTATCTTGGGCCCTGCCCACTTTTGATCACCAGCTTTTATTTCGCCCGTATTGGCTCAAAGTCGCTGAATGTGATTCACTTTCTTTAGTTTCTTGTTGCAATGTTGGCCCAATTGCTTCCAGTGTGTACACAGCTTGACACTGCATTACAAAAGGATTCAAATGCTTAAACTCATTAGCTTTAATTTTATGTATGCTGCACGTACTGCCTTCCTGGCTTGCACACCTATTTGTTAGCATTTCTGCGGCCCACCCTGCATCCCCCTACTCTCGCCTCTTTCATATGTGTAACAGCGATATCCTAAACCTGGGAGGCACCGCTTATCCTGAATAAGCCCTTTCTCGAGCCGCTCTCTGACCTAGGTCATTTTCTTGTGTGAATGTGTGTGTGAATGGGTGAATGACTGGATGTGTAAAGCGCCTTGGGGTCCTTAGGGACTAGTAAAGCGCTATATAAATACAGGCCATTTACCATTTACCATTCTTCTCATGAGCCTGTCACCTTTATTATCAATAAACAGTGTTAAATCATGTTTGAGTTGTGTTATCTGCTAGCAAATAGCATGCTAACATGCCACCTGCTAAAATGGAGCCACAAGCACAATCATGTCAGTGTTTTACCTCCACTGAGTTCTGGGCTTCACTCATCTTTGCAACTGTGGTCTGAAACTCTCCAATGAAGTCATGTCCTCCATCATTATCGTAGTCATAACACAGCACCTGTAATTGTGCAGAATGCATCACATCATGCTAGTCTTTTCTTTCACATGGGCAGCTTATAAATAAAAGTGGAAACTCAAGCGGTTATGTGGTTTCTGGTATCTGTGTCCTACTTTCACTTCTGTACTGACTCTTCACTTCCTTTTTAATTTTTTTCAAGTTTGACATTCTAGCCAAAGGACACGATAAAATTATTTTTTATTTTTTTCACAGTTGATCTCACCTGTTAGATTCAGTGAAGATTACATTAGATACTAAACATGTCTTCTAATAGAGAAAGTAAAAATTCTTACTACTAACCTTGATGCTTCTGTCCACGTCTCCATTGCACAAAGAAATGAGAGGCACGGTAAAAGGTTTCCACACTGGATCTAAAGTGTTCTTTATGACCTGAAGTCACAGACACAAAAATAGGCAGAGGAGCGGATGTATGATGCAATTACCTGAACTTATGTCTGTAATTAAAGTTGTACCACTTTGTGTGAGGCCAAGTTTAGCTGAAAATGACAGTCAACGATAATAACAGTCAGGTAACAGAAGGTAAGTTTAACCTCTGCCAATGACTCACCTCTGTCCTGTGCACAAGCATCCATTTACCATCTTCTCCCTGTTTGTGAAACTCCAGGTAAGGGTCTGACTTCCCAAAGAAGTCCTGCACAAACAAACACACGGTGAATTTGCCCTCATGTCTTTTTTTGTCTGTTTACATCTCTTATCTCTTTCACAAAACTGCAACCACTAACCACTGCATGACAACTGCAAAACTACAGGTGATTTCTAAAAAAAAAAAAAAGTTTCTTTGAACACTTAAAAGATCAGATTGATTAATTAATTCACTGGAGTTTTAACTACAGCATACAGCAGGTACACAGCTTGAGCTTGAATCCTACTCACAGTTATGATGTTTCTGAGTTGCAGTATATCAAAGCTGCTTAAACGGCGATATTTAATATGTAACAATTTTATAATATCAACAATTTTTGAAATTGTCCTTCAATCGGAAATAACACCACATGATAGTGTTTAAAAGGTACATATGTGTACTGTAGTACACAGTGCATTGTACCATAGGCCAAAACACCTTGTAATGTTACATAAAGGTAGCACCTATTATGGCAGCTGAGTCATTGTGCGCACTTACTTTTTAATATTTCAGGGTTTAGAAACATGTTGCTGTTACAAACCCACTGAAAACTTCAAACCCCTTTCCATACCTGTTTTAACATCCCAGAATCACTAGCATCATACACAATACACACAATACACTTTCAGTTCAATCATGCCCGCAGTACATATGGCCCAAATGTGCGTTTCCTGTAAATGTTGTTTGTCCTGGTTCCTGGTTTCACCCAGTGATTTTAGTCTGATATAAACAGGCTTTGGGAATGTAATTGTTCCTTAATGTTGTTTCAAACAAAGTGTTGTTAGGGACAATTTTATTGAATAAATTTCTTTGAAAAATTATTTTTGTCATAGTCTTTGTTATCAGCGACCTTATGCAGTAAGGTTTAATTGACACTGGGAGATTATACAGCGGTTTTTTTTGTTTTTTACTTTACTATAATCTTATGATATTTATACTCAACTAAAACTAAACTGAAATCAAAAGAATTTAAATGTCAAAATTATGACTGAAGCCATTTTATGCTTTAGTCAAAAGGCTACGACTAGAACTAAATCAAAATTATCTGTCAATACTAAATGCTGCAGGAATGACTGTTGGAGGTTGCAGTTGTTTCAACAAACATCCCAAAATACATATTTAATGTGTCAAAACAACAGTTTTAATTCCAGCTACCCCAGCACCTGATAGCCTGTTGTTTGGCAGACAAAGGTGAAGACTATGAAAGCATTTAAATCTCGTCTGTGTGGGCTGTATTTGTGTGACCTAAAGTGGTATGCATGCTCAAATATATCTGAGTGTGTGTGTATGTGTGTGTTTGGATTTGTACCCTGAGTGTGTGTACGTGTGTGAGCATGCGGGGGTCTAACTGCCTACCTTCTTATCCAGTTTACGCCCACTCAGGGTCAAAGTGATGATTCTGTTGTCAGACAACTCCTGCGCTGTTATCTAAAATAAGAGCACCACACAACATTAGCGGCAGCAGAAGCACTCACAAATATTAACATTTACATCAACAACAGCAACAGGAATCGTTGGCAAACACGGTAACGGCAGCAGCCTCGATGACATCAGGATCAGCGACTGTAGCCATACCGTTCACGTAAACATCACAGACAACAGCAAGTTTAGGTGACACAGCACAGTGTGCATTTTTTACATTTGTCTTGTAACTCATTAAGTGCATTGAGACATTGACACCTTTCAATCAGGTGCATGG